TTTTTTTTTTTTTGGTCTGTTTCTGTTCTACTGTCTATAATCATATCTTTCATTGTGCTCACCATCCCTGTACTTACCTGGGAAATTATTTCTGTTTTGAATTTTTCTACAGCCTGATTGATCTGTCTTGTTATGAGTTCAGGGTGTCCTGGTGGCTGATTGTCAGACTTTTCCACCTCATTTCCCCTAGAGTTTGTATTTGGAAGTTTGTATTTGTATTTGGAAGTCTGTATTTGTGCCTTGCCTAAGTGTTTTCTCATTTTTATTTTTGTTATTTGGCTGTCCTAGGTTTAATTCCTGGGTTAATAATTTTATCTTCCATATATAGCTGCTCTTTAGATTTTTAGTCTCTAATGATTCAGAGACATTCTTATTTTCATAATATCAGAAAGAATAACTCATTAAATCAATCACAACTCTTTAGCACAATTGATACAATCAGCAACACTGTAGCACCAAGCACAGCTTAGAAATTTACCATTTGTGGTATTTATTAATCTATCAACTTTATCCATGTGAATTAAATTAAAATTCAGGGCCAATCCAAAATATGTTTATAGTGGATAAACTCTTCAATATAGCAAATTTACCCTTCAGGGTTGGTACTTAGAAGGAGTTGAGAGGAGAGGAATAGATAGGCAAAATAATAGGAGGTTTCAAGTGAAGCCAGAGGACACAGGATGATCATGCTAACTAGGAAATTGTTGAAGACCAGAGGTAAAGACAGAGTGCAAGAACAAAGAGAAGAATCAAACAACTTAACAGTAATAGGGACATTATAAACTGTACTCACTTTCCTTTGAAACTAATGACAATCAAATGAAGGAAAAAGAGAGAAGGAAAGAAAAAGCAAGAAGAAATCTTGTCAGGGTAAGAACAGGAAAAAAAAGGAGATGAAGAATAATGTGGGAGAGCAAGGGACTGAGTGGGAAAAAAAGAAAGAAGAAAGGAAGCATTTGCAGAATGGGAAAAAATAAAATTAAAAAAAATAAAATAAGAGGAAAAGAAAAAAAAATTGAAAAAGCCTCTTTCAGAGTCTATCTCTGCTGTCACAATAGACAGTGTGGGCAGCAATGTACAGAATTGTCAGTTAGTCTCAGCTAGCCAATGGCCGATCCCTGAGATTCAGGCTGAATACCGGCTGCAAGGTCCAAGTTGAGCACCCTGACCTGCAGGGTTGAACTCTGCAAGGTTCTACTGCAGGTTCCAGCTGCCCTTCCCTTGAGGATAGTCCAGGTTCTAATGGAAGTTGGTGACCCCTCCAACTTACCAACAACAGAGGTCTGATGTGCCTCTATTGCAGTTGTTCACTTCTGTTCTATCTTCCGGAGCTCAGCAAAAGGGCCTTTATGACCTCCTGTGCCTCTGCAATGTGGATCCAGATTCAAGTACCGTCACAGCCATGAGGCCTGAGCACAGGGGAGGGGGGAATGCTGCAGAGGCACCCACATGGCTGGACAGTTCCCACTGGTCTGCTCCAATGAAGGCATGGGATGATCGAGGTGGGGGAGCGCGAGCAGCCTGTGTGGCTGCAGAAATTATGATTTTAGTTCCTTAAAATAGCATTATCTCTAGAATTTAGATTTAACAGTTTTTTACTGAATATAAGTAATATCTTAATAACATGAGCATATTCTTATTAAATGACGTATAATATATGATTAGTTATTTTAATATATATTTATATATTTTTAAATATTTGATACAGAGTTAAGCTTGTATTTTGGCATCAGCAGCTTTTTATATTTTAGATGTAATTATTTTTTCTATATCCATAATAAAAATGTTGTAAATTATCTTTAATTGATTATGTATTACAACTTTTGTTGACCTCTGTTTACAGACTTCCAGATTTATTAGTTGTAATTCAAGAATCAAGAAAAAAATACTGGAGTTAATTTATTCATATAACTCAGCAATGTTTTTTCAACTTGAAATATTGATGTACTCATAAAACAAATCAAGAAGCAATAGACAAAATGTCTTTTTAACATTTGTTTGTAAAAAGTTAGTGCAAATCTATATAATTGTCTTCCATCTTTCACTCAAAACTGTGAGGGTTCATGATCAGAAAGCAAATGCTTTTAAAAGGTAATAAGTGATGTTTTAAACTTGTGAGTATTTTAGGTCTTAAATTTATAAAAATAAATATTAGAGATGATTGCACTTGATATCAATATAAATAAATAGTAATGCTTCAATGAAATCTGAATTTTAGTAAAATGATTGAATATTGCAGGTCACATTAAGTTTTAAGTCAAGTGCCTTGTTTTATTATCCATTCATAATTATTTTGTATAATCATTATTACTGATGTTAACCATTTAGACAAAACTAAATTTTATCAGGGCCAGGGATTTAGCCCAGTGGTTGCACTGCCTGCCTTGCAGGTGCAGGGACCTGAGTTCAATCCCTGGTACCAAAAATAAAACAAAAAACTAAATTTCATCCACATGCCTTCTTTTTTAAAGTTGTTTTACCTTTTGATTTTTTTTTTTTTTTTGAGACAGGGTCTCACTATGTAGTTCATAGTACCCTGGAACTCACTATGTAACCCAGGCTGGTCTTAACTCACAGAGATCCTCCTGCCTCAGTCTTCTGAGTACTGGGATTACAGGCATGCCCCCCCATGCCTCTCTTCCAGGCCTTTTTAATGCCTGGGTTTGGATGTTCTGGAGCATAATTTCATCTGTGTTCTGTTGGTCAAAGAAGCCATAGGTCCTGCCCAAATTCAAAGCTAGGACATCACTGGTGGGGAGGTAAGGAAAAGGCATATACGGAAGGATGAGTTGATGGCCACTGTCTTTGGAAACCAGGTAGCATGCTACCCTTCACTAAAATGCTAGGTGTGCAATGTTCTTGACTTCTCTTGCCCACCACTGGACCCTCAGTATCTATCTGACACGCCTATGTGTGAAGTACGCATTACAGAGATGAAGGGATAATGTAAAATGAAACTGTGCCACATTTGTTCAAGTCTATTTGCTTTGATCAGAACACTGTCTCTTTTCCCCCA